TAAAGAAATATCTTTTTCTCCTAAATGACAGGTGGAAAGCTGTCCTCATTTTCTATTAATGACTGAGCAAAACAGAGAAATTTTAGTCACAAATGATACAAAAACAACAACCAAAAAAAAAAAAAATTGTGGCAAAAGGGAATCTTGATAAGAAACCATTTATGCATGTATTTTTTCATTTAAGACTACGCAGACTTGTACACTAGTGACTAGTAATTCAATGGTTTCTGCAAGTATCAGCCAGGCTGCCAACGAGTAATTACAAATGATCACAAACACTTAGGCTAAGTCTCAATCTCAGTCGTTGCTGCTAGGCTTCCATATGCATGCATTTGATATGTTAGTGGATTCGTTTCTCTTTTCCTTTCTGGGCTAAAAGCAAAGTCCCGTTAGGGATAGGAAAACTAGCCATTATTTAATATGGTATGTCTACGTTATTGTAATGGTTAGCCAACAAGTCACATCGGTTAATCCCACTTCAGCTCTGGAGTTGTCAAAGTTCGGTGATGTTCATCTGTGGTGGCAAGGTTACGGCAATAAAATCCTGAAACTACCAGCATGGTTAAAAAAAAAAGGGGGGGGGTGGCTGCACACAACATGTCACTAGGTGGCGCTGGTCATGATACACGTGCATACACTCACGTATTAAAGTATGTTGCCTCATCTTTGCATCAAAACAGTGCTTGTATTGTATGTTCATCAACTGTCAGAGTTTTTTAATGCATTAGTTTTTTGTTTCTTACCACCCAGAAGTGTGAGCGGGGGGGGGATACAATAACCTATCCATCCCCTCTATCATGTAAAAAGTGCGTGTCTGTGAGTTTGTTTCTGCATTCAATTGGGGACCTTGAACAATAGAGGACAATAAGGTCCCCGATTGACAGAGGGTCCTCTATTGACAACCGTGTACAAAACATATGGGTGGTCTTGTAAAAAAGTTAAAGTACAAACAAAAGAGGAACAACAGGGGGTCCCCAGTTGCAGGCAAATACACACTTATGGGTGTGTGTGTGGAGGGCATATCCCCTCCCCCAACAGAATCTATGCCCCCAGTGGAGTAACAATCCAAGCTCTACTGTCCAATTCTCAGCTATCAAAGAATTGTACAATTTTTGACAAGATCTGTGAGTATGTTCAAAAACAAAACACAAGCAACTGATACATCTTTCAACTTTGTTTTGAACAGATTATAGACCTCTCATTCACAAGCTCAGAGGATTCATTACTGGCCGAGTATAACTTTAGATTCATTCAACAGTCACAATAAAATAAATTTCTAGTCAGTAGTAACCATCCCAAAAAAACAGGTTGCCTCATCAAAAGAGAGAAATCTTATCACATTTTTCCCGCTCCAAAAGTGTGAAATCCTCTCAGCAGCTTTTTAATTTCGTTTGTTACCCTAAAATGTTTCCTTGTTAATGAAACAACATGGCAAACGTGTAAATGCAATTAATCACATGAATAGCGCATACCAGCACCTTGTCTGGCCAACACCTTCCGCGCCGTGGGCTGGCCGCCCGCCGCCTCGCGGCTAACGCCATTAGTGCTCAAATGGCCCTGCAAGCAGGATTCCTAGGATGTGATTTGCCCCAGCCCACGGATGGCGGTCTCGTTACAACCACGCTTCATTAGGCTGTGCTGCCGCGACATTCCCCGTGTCGAAGTCAGGCGGGAATCGCAACCGGGCAAAGGTAATTATACAGCTTGACGATGGTTTTCACAAGTGAAACACGCGGGAAAAAAAGCCGAGAAGGAAAAAAACACATATACAAAAAAAACCCAACAAAACACACACAAAGCAAGGGAGGTGAGAGACATGCACCAGAGCGTGGGTGATCATAATTGAAAAGCCTTGCCACCGGCATTGCTGACGTGAGATGAAGTAATAGCCCAGCTAGGAGTGACGGTGCGGTTTGAAAAATGGTCCCTCAATAGGGTTACAATGCTAACAACTGTCGCTGCTTACAAGCGTGCCTAACACACCGTGCCCACTCGTGCGTACTGTCTGGGACACGCAGCACATTTCAAACCGATGCATCCAAACTTTCGCAATGGATGCGATTGAGGATTCGTCATCCCATTTTCGACTCAGGGACAAAGGAGTCTGGTGATGCAAATCCCCAGTGCTGTTGATGTGCGCCTCACAATCAATCAAACTGCTTGCAAAGAGAGATTATCTTGAAAAATCAAGAGGTCCAGGAAAAGCTGTCGCAATCTGTCAACGTGCCTTCCTTGGGAGATTCTGTTCTCCCCCCCCAAAAGACTCTTCATTCAATTCTGTGCAAGTTTGAATCTAGTGGAGGGACGCAAGAAATTTCCAGGAGATCTAATAAAAACGCGGAAACAGAGTTTAAAGAGATTCTGCATAATTTGTTCGTGTCAGAGGGGTAATAATGATTTTTAACAACCACAAATCCCTCGGCATTTGGGGAGAATCTTCCTGAGTCATCCCATGATCCCCTAGTGATTTAAGCGAGGCATATGGCACATTCTTTGTGCAAAAACGTTCAAGGGGCATCAAGCCTACAATTTTCAGTGAGTGGCTGCACATCGGCTTCTGAAACCTGTAAACTGTCCCAAACCTACTGCAGCCCCCGTGGACTGAAAAAAGAACTGTTTCCTTTCAATCATTTCACCCCTCCATTAAGTGAATGCGTTTTAAAACATTGATCATTTAGTGGTCTTTTAAAACAAGTTTTCCATGACCACTGAGGTTTTCGTGAATTTGTTTTAATGAAATGAGAAATAAAATTCTGAGATTCCCTTTTGAAATGTCTGATGTTTTCTCCTAGGCAAGACATGAACAAAACCTCATTTTGCCCAGAAACGTTTTGTAGAACAGCACATCAAATACAATTCTACCAGCTTGAACACAATTCAATCCGGCTGTAAAAAACAACCAACCTGTCCATTGAACACTACAGATTTGGACAGAAATGATGGAAAATGGTTGTGCAGCTGTATCAGGGTGGTGTGTCTGTTGAGCTACATGCTAACCCCTGATCCTTCACTGCCAATTTCCTCTGAATGCAGTGAAGCCTGCTCCGTCCCCACCGACTGTCCATAAACTAGCCAAATCAAGCGATCGTTTCCATCAAGAGGGTATCCACCAAAAAACCACAAAAACAGATAAACATCCACAATAAACCAACCATGAACAGGAAAACAAGGGTCAGTCCGCCCAAAGTCCCAGTCTCCACCACCACTCTCCTTTGATTCACCCCCAGGCCAGGATTTGCCTTGTAACCATTCAAGCACATTTGCACCGTTAAACTAATCAACTGCAAAGAGGGAGGAAAAAAGTACATTGACTTCAAAGTCCCTTTCAGCTTGATGGCACAGCAAGTGCAAAGGGAGAGGGTGAACTCAGTGGCTGGTTAAAAAGAAAATAAAAACAAAAGCACAGATTTTCTTTGGTTGTTGTTGGTTCTTTCTCAGCGAGTGGCTTCTGACGTGCACTGGCAATCTTGACATTCACGTTACCCCAGCTCTTGTCTCCCTGTCAAGGAAAAGCAGGGGCACATCGCCAGCACAGCTCCTGCTGACGACACGTTGCCTTACACCTTAGGCTTCCAGGGCTGTGCTCAGAATCCTCAAAACTCCACACATCAACGGCTCTCACATCCAGAAGGGCAAGGGGAAAAGAAATCCTTGAATGTTCAACAGGGGTTGACTAACAGCTGATTCACTGAATATTTTCATGGTCAAATACAAGGACGGATCCCCAAATGTCATCCCGATCCCGATGTGAAACCTTCGGCTCATCGTCAGTGTTCATGTCACGATCCCTGGTGGTCCTGCTCCATGACTGTCTTGAAGGCGACCATTATCCACTGCATAATACTCCACTCACGTCTGTCCCTCACAATAATCACTTGACCTTTCTGTGCACCAGACCAGCTTGACAATGCTTACCAGTTTAAGTTGGTAGTATTTCATGGAGAGATTAGAAAAGCTTTTTCCAAATAGCATGTGGTCTCTGTCAGGTGATATCTGAGGACACATCATGCCGATAACCATGTGGCTACCATTGTCCTGTTATTCAGATATATTTGACAATAACTATGAGTAAAGTACAGTTTTGAGTAAATTACACATACAATTTCAATGCGGGAAAAAAGCCACAAACAAAAGAAATGTTTTAAAGTTTGGTAAAAATGGCACTCTTTAGACAACTTCACACAGAACAAGCATGCCATTGGAAAGTCAGAAAACTAAGTTTCCAAATTTTTCAGTGTATGGTAAAAAAAACCAAGACAAAACAAAGGATGTAAAAATTGCAAGAATCAAGGAAACCGTGTTGTTTGCCTGTAAGCCCCCAAAAAGTGGAAAATATCTTAGATCGCTAAGTCTAACTAATTGTGGGAGGCATGGACAACTTGCACGAGTATAAAAGACAAGTAGATCACATGGTACTCTGGGAGTCAAGGCACGACAACAGAAGTACACGTGGAGGGCATCCCTCCACTACTCACGACTCTTATCAACAATGCTGTGCAGGGCTGCTGAAATTAGATTATTAATGGGCATCCATGGCTAATACACAGCTGTTGTTAGGACAACTGCCAGACATTATAGAACTTGTCTTTGCTACACCACAAGTGCTGAATTTGGCCAACCAGCGGCTGCCAAAGCTGTGGCTGGACCAACAATTCACAAATTGTTGAAAAATCTCAAAAATTAACGATAAATACTTAGACAGCAATACTAACTGAATAAAACAAAGGAAAACAATGCCCATTCAAACAATGATGAAACAAACTGCGCATTTTGAAAAGAAACTATTGCCAATCAGGCTTAACTTCTTGCCGCCCATTCCAACTGGTGTTCAACGTTTGTAAACAACAGAATGGTGTATAAAAAAATTATGCGAGACTCAAAACGGAGATTACTGCTTCACTACGACTACAGACAATTGAGGGAACACCAATGAAATATATCCGGGTTTCAAGAAAAAAAAGGGGAAGGAGGGGTTGAACAAACTTAAGCCTTGTACTTACCACACTCAGGGGACTTGGGGCTCCAGAATCCATGCTCAGCAAGGAGTCTTCACCATCCAGGGACACACTGGCGCCGTCAGAAACCAGTGACCCAAGCGGTGTACCGGGCACCCCATCTGCCTTCAGTTTCTTACCTGCTTCTTTCTTCTGAGAGCGGGGAAGAAAAAATTGAGGCAGAAGCAGGTGTATGATTTTGAGGTGATCAAACTGCAAAATACAAAAACTTTCTTAAAAATGTTCATTTCTACGACCTTAAAAATTTGCCCATTCGATATCTCCAAGTGTGGTCATAATTACTGCCTCAGCCATGTTAGAAGATTGTGGTATTCTTCACAGTTTTCTTCAGGATACTTGTCTAATATTTAGTGATAAGAACATGAAGGTTTAAGTCAGAACTTGCGCCATATTTCAGTCCGGCACACTGCCCCAAAAGATTCCCATCTCAAAAAGCTTGAGACAAGAATTTCCAGAGGCAGACACAGCACAAAGGAGGCAAATTCCTGCCAACAGGAGACAGCGTTTCTGGCGCGAGGTCCGCACCCTCTGATTGGGGGTTCTACAGGGCCGAAGCCCCGAGGCACTGAAGTTTCCCAGGAGGTGGAGGAGGGGGAGATGTAGAGGGCAGAAACCGTTCCTCTCACCATTTCGGCATACTTCTCCCTCTTGCGTTTGCGGTCTCTGGCTCGGTTCCGTTCCTCCGTCAGCTTCTTTTCACGCTGTTGTTCGTGAACTGGTCATTGTGGCAAGAACAAGAAAAGGAAGAAAACTAAGTGCTGAATAAACTCGAGTAGGGCATGAGTATTGACATCTTTAAAGGAGGGAGTCATTCATATAGTTCATTTATTTGCCATTAATTGGGCAGACGATACAACAAATGCGCTTACAAAATGAACTGCAGAGACTAGAAACGCAATCTGCACATCACACCTCCTTTATTTCAAAGAATAAATGGTTCACTCGTTTTAAAATTTATTATGTGCAAAGAAAAACCAGGCCATCTGATAACCAATTGCTGAGAAATTCTTTGAGGGTGATCCAATTCTGACATTTATCTGGCATCATTTTTCTCCTACGGTTGTGACAGCTACCAGGAATTAACCGCATCATGTGCCTCAGACTTTTCCCACTCTGTAAATTTATTGCCCACCAGGGACGAAGATTGCATGCAACATTCACGAGAAGAAAGAAACGGACGGGGATTTCATTTAAAACAAAACAAAAAACACAGTTCAGCATCGCACAGGATGGGTTATGGGCTGCAAGTGGTGAACCGACAAGGGAAATTTAAGGGGCCGCTGACTACCAGGCGCAAGCAAGACTGCAAGTAATTTGAAAACGTGACATCTGTTCTGCACCATCAGTGCAAAACCAATGACTCCGCCACGAAGTCCAGTCCCAGTGATCGGTAGAAACAAGTGCCCATGTAGAAACAAATGGTCCCTTTTATTACACAACGCTTTGACAGAGTCAAGTTTGATGATATTGAGTCACAATAAAATGCCACATGGCTATGAGCAGTCAAACTTGGATGTGTTGGAAACAAGTGTTCAAGTCAACTCCTAAAGTCAGTCATTAGATCGTGCTTCCCAGACAGCGGGCACCATTTCCCTGAAACTCCACAGGTCTTCCAGTGTCCTTTGATGAATGATTGACAAGACAGTAGGAAATGCTGTTATATTTAATTCAATTTACCCATTTTCAATTGTGGCTTAAAAGTTGAGATCTCAATTTGTTTTCATCTGGTAAAAGAGATTTTACACACCTGTGCGTCAAAACATTTTCAACCATTCCAAATTGACTAAAAGGGGTGAAAAATGACTTCAACTATAACCCTATAGCGTACAGTAAAAGAAATAAACCAAGCACCACCAACGCGTTATTTACTTGAAATGTAGGTTTCATTTACAACAATCAACTATTTGAACCTGCAAATTTACAAATAACACATGTGCTTTACACAGGCACCAAACTTGGCTTCAGGCATGGTGTGAAAAATAAATTGGATCTGCAAGTAAGAAATGCAAGCTTTTAACTTCACAAACAGAATGCGTGTAGAATGGAGATGTAAAAACAGAGGTTATCTTTGAGCATTCAAGCATTAGCACGTCTTCATCTTTTGATGAAGGGTGATTTTCCTGTTGCGGTGACCGCCTCCATCCTTCTTGCCGGAACAGCAACAGGATGGGTGGAAGGGGGGGGGAAGGGATGGAGCAGGTTATCTTACATTTTCTTTCAATTTCTTCATCGTCCAGAAGGAGGGAGACCACTTCCTTTGGTTTCAGCTGCTCTGGTTTGAACTGGCCGCCGGTGATGACCATCCGCTGGATCTGCAGTCAGATATGGGCAAAATGACCAGAGGCAGAAGTGTTTAATCAAGGGCATTCTACTTGGTGTCTTAAAAGGATTTGCTGGTTCACAATCAGTGATCAAGTCACCTGCATGCACCTGGACACTCTGTTTAGTTGAACAAATTTGCGCTCACAGGTTTTTCAAATACGTCAACTTTTTCCAACCCTTTCCATCTAGAAGGCGGTAACTTTTTCCGCTGATCAAATTTCAAGTGAGTCCAGCAGAACCTAACAAGTGGCTCAGGAACCTCAAAATGGCTTCTGCAGTGGATTCATCAAGGACTCTAACACTTTCTCTGAACCTCTCTGGAATCCCACCAATAATTAACAAAATCTAGTATACTGCCAGCTTTCCTGGCTGGAAGCTTGCACAAGACACCCCCCTCTTCCCAGCTACAACAAAAAACCTCTGTTCCCTGCTCAAATCAATCAAATCCTCCCTGCTGTTAAATCCCATGGGATTTGACATGGCAGGGGTTAAGGCCCTCGGCAACAAACACTATAAACCACTGTGTTTCTTCACTTACAGCTATTTGTTTTTACCCCAACATTGCTTGTAACTCTTGAAAATGCTCTTTCAATCTTAAAAAGAAATTCCAACTTCTTTTCAAGGCTAATATATGAACACCTAATTTCAACATCCGGGAAGGAACAAATCACGCTAAAGATACAAACCTACAATCAGTTCAAGAGAACAAAACAACACAAATAAGAGGAAAAATACAGAACTCGGCAAACTTTCTACCAAATTCCTACTGGATTTCTCCCCAAGATTTCTGGAAATTACAAATCTACAAATTACTACTCTTGCACACCAACAATTTAAATTCAACTGGGACATTTGAGCCTTGCATGAAGACAGAAATGCCAGAGGCACTGCGGTTTAATATCCTTGGAAAATTAAGCAAAACTGAGTTGGGCTGTGAAGGCCATGGGCCAAATGTTTTCAACTTGGCTGCATTATGCGCACAATGCATAAAAACCACAGTACCACTGCACAACCATTCAGTTCTTACTTGATGCTTCACACATTTATTTTCATGAACAACTCTGCCACAATTGAATTTAGTATTAACCTCATCTCCGAGGTTTGCAATGACATGTTCATTTTGGAGGTTAAATCAAACTCATCAATACATGTGAACAAGACGAGCCTCCTGCACCCAACACAGCAGCTCGACCCCCCCATCACAACTGTACTGAATACTCCCGGCATGGCACACTTACAGCCAAGGCTCCTACAGTACATGTTCATGCCACACAACCCTTCAGACTGACTCCAAAGTAAATGTTATGCTTTAAAGCCCAAATTGCCCTGAGGTGTAACACCAGTCCACTCACAGGAACAGAGGAGTGTGGCCATCCCACCTCCTCATCCAAGCCCAGTAAGGGGACACTCTATCCACGAAGCCTCCCCCCCTTCAATTTTGCGAGGGTGATGAACACCTACATGTACACTACAGGCACAAGGGGAACTAGGTTTAATTGATTGAAAAGCACCGGCTGTACAAACAGAGAATTCTCCCTGGATTTCCGACATCAATAAAGTGTAAAACTTTATATCCTGTTTTGATCTTGAGTGGTGCTTTTTAGGGAGAAATTCTAGTCATATGAGATCATCAGCATGTGGACTCATTCAGTGACTTTTAATACAAACAAGGGGGAGGTTTTCAGGTTTTAAACAGAATTCTGGGGTTTTTATACAGCACATGATGGATATTTTAACACTCTAATATAAGAATGAATATATCTTCCAAAGCTTTTAACACAACCCAACACTCCTGGTACAACAACGACAGTCTTTCTATGACATTGCATTATCTAACAAACTTGGCAACATAATACTTTCGCTCACATCAAAAGACCTTAAAAAATTTACAATGGACCACAAAATAAGAGATAATGCAACCCAAACTGAAACCTTTTATTATAAAATGTGACAAAAGCCCTTTACAGCAGGCTCCATCATTTTTGAATAAACCTCAAGAAACCTGTCTCAAGAAAATCACAAAGACATTGACAACATAATATAATGTATAATACATAAGTAATCAATCCCTAGCCTATATCTCAAACAAGGACCTGCAGAGTTTTTTTGTTGAAGTAGTGTTTTTGCTATTACATGCAGTTAAATTTGGAGCTGATGTACATGTACTTGACGGAGGGGTCACGCTGCCATCCCAAGCAAGTCATAATCACCTCACAGGCAACCGCTACTGACACTATAATGGCCAATGTGTTAACTTTGCCGGCTAAGATGGGATACTAATTGCTTTCCTCTGTCTCATGGTTGAAGAATTCATGGGGAGAGCCCGCAACAGGGAACCGTGTACTTAACCCGGCCTGCAAAACACACCAACAAAACGACCTGGATGTTTGTTCAGCGGTCCCGATTGAGCCAGCCTGTAATTGGTGCCTGATGGAATACGTGTCTGGAGCCGAAATGGCTCATCCGCTCCAGCACGCCCCCAACATCAGCCCCCCCACCACCCCTTTACTTCACTCCATGACCCCTGTTGATAATTGTCTTCAGGTATGCACCTGGACAACCCTCCCGGCAAGAGGTTGGGGAGAAGGGACAAGGCCTCCAAACAATGGATGATGCACTCTCCTGGAATAAATATGGACAGCCGAAGGTGTGAGGGTCCTGGTAGGGAGTGAGCGGCAACCTAACCTACAGATGAAAGGGTTACCGGTCGCCGAGCCCAGCACATATGGGCCTAATTGCATCCAGGTATGCAGGTGCGTTTCAGAGTGTGTCTTCCAGCTAGGTCAAGCTAGGCAAAGAAAAACCTGGGGACCCCAGACCAGGTTGATGTGCTTATGAACGGCCAGGAGGTGCAAACTCACGGTAGGGGGCCTCCTGGCCGAGGCGTTAACCCGCACCCACTTCAAAGAGAAGGACCCCATTTCAAAGACCACAGTAATGGGATTCTGCTTGGGGTAGTTTTGGTTTCAATACAGGAGAAGGTTTTTTGGGGATACAGAAAATCTGGTTTCTGTTCCACATTTACCTGGGGTTTGAATGGTTTTTTGTTCAGCATTTCACGACAAGCAGTATTGATATTAAAATAACAGAGCTACTGCTGTGAACAATTTTTACAGGCTGTATCTTCAGGGCAGTGATCTGATAGCCAGGTGGGCCAATGGCTTAATTGAGTTGGTAACCAAATGATGGTGACCCACTTGACACAGTAAGTTAGGAAATTCCGAGACACCTCGTGTAGTTGATGCAAGCCCCTCCCACCAGAAAGGAGAAAGCACAGTGACAGTTTAATGTTATTTTGGGGTTTTGCTTTTGTGTTTTTGAAGGGGGGGGGTTCTCACTAGATTGTTTTCTTTGTCTCTAACCACCCATGCTTTTTACAAATACCGTGATCTGCTACTGTAAATTACTTTAACATTCACTGAAGGTGTAAAAGGTCTTTCCGTTGTCTTTTTCGAATCAGTTGTATTTTCATTCATTTGGGGGAGACTTACAGCTTTTATGTACTAAGATAAAATATATCTGAAACTATATGTTACCAATACACAGAATGTCAATGAGAGGATTGATTTGTTCCATGAAAGATTCCTGATTTGTTTGATAAAAATATGAAATATCCTGCATGAACTAAGTACACAGCAGTACATGTACATGTATATTCCTGGTTCAACTATGTATTCACGCCATTCATATGACCTTACAAACGGAGCCTTGCTGTGTGTCAGGATGAATTCAATGACACATGATCAACGTCCCATGTTTTACGTGATGGAGATGACGGAGGTTTGTCTGTTTTTGTAATCTCAGAGGTTCTTAGAAAGGCAGAAATACTGACTCAAGCTTCCATATAGAATTTACAAAAAGGTCTACACAAATGAACCTGTCCTGCAATATTCCTATGAACTCATGTTTATAACAGAACATACATGTAAATGACAGCAGCAGGACAGCCCTGGGCTGTGCTTACATGTCATTTGGGAGTATGTGCATGTATTAAATTGTAGCAGCATCTGGCTGGGCATCCTTCCCCCAGGGTTAAAAATACAAGGAATTATGACAAGTTGGGGAGGGGAGGGTTGGTTACCACGTGTGGCAAATAAAAACCGGAAAATATGCAAAACAAACCTTACTGCTGCCACATTTAGTAACAAATTACTAGTGATAAAAGACAAGTTCATGCATTTTAGATGGGTCGAAAACGAAGTTGGATTTGTGCAAAATACAGGTGCATGTATGATAATCAATCTGATCCAACATTCTGCAGCATTAATCCAAATCTGACCACACTGAATCCCATCCGAGGTTACAACTGGATCGGATTTGGATTTCCAGCTTCCTTCTTCAACAAAATGTACGGACCCTTGTCCTCAAACCCCACAAAAACATGCACCTGCCTTAGTGGAGGATAGGTATTACTGAATTGTTGACTAGTTGGATGTTTGATTGAATGGAATGTAGATTATTTAAACAAGGGAATAAATTGTGCTTGGCTGGTCTTAAACGTGTGTTTAAGGCCAGCCCAGGAGAATGGACGGGACTAATGCCCAAGCTGCAAGCGATTATCAGCATTCATTCTCCTGAGCTGGTTTACGACTGACCAAGTACATATCTATTCCCATTCATAAACACCGTTTTAGTCAAACAAGTCAATATACAATAAATTTCCAAGGATTTTGTTCAAGAATTCTGCTTTCATTTTCCCGAACATCCCTGTTCATTTTATAGTATATTCCTTGTGCAAGTAGTCCAGAAGAATCTCCTTATATGTACATGGTGCACACGTGGCGAGTTCCCCATGCCGTGGTGCACACAGACTCTTGACCGATAGGAATGGATTAACACACTGATTGCTGACTATGAGTATGCTTGAAGTAACAGGTGTACCCGATGCTGCCATTACAAGTACACTTGTAAGAAATGAAAGACTTTCGTATAAATGTAAATTGAATACACTGGCATCACCAAAGAACACAACAAATACGCTGCTGGCAGTGTGGAGGACGTACATCTGTAAAATGCTTGTGTTCAAAAAGACACTTGAAAGGTACCTATCAAATATGCGCACATACGTACAATGCTTGGTAAATGGGCGCGCCCCTTTGAAATTACGTGGCAATCAATGTTGTTAAACTGTCTCTTATCTCGGTGCCAGTGCTTTTTCACATAGCGGGCATTATCAAATCGCGGTGGGCATTATCAAATGTTAACACGTGGTCACGTTGCACGTTGTAGAATAGGGAAACTGTCTACGGCAGATATGAATATTAACCACTTCCTGCCGGGGACTCCGAAATCGGAGACGTATGGTTTATATGCATGGCTGGGGTCTCCGGAAACAGGGCCCTGTAACAAAAGACCATACTCCGAACAAAACACCAGGCTGCTGGGCATTACCGACATTTTCCACTCTCAAAAGTGGTGATAATCCAGCCTTGTTTTGAAATCGTATACCAGGGTTTGGGGCATTGAGAGCGAGTGGATTACCACCGGGGACAAAAGCGCTCCAGCACCGCAGCGATGAGCCACACAGCACCGCTGCACGCTAATCTGGCCCCTATTGAAAAGAGGTTAGCAGTGCACTGAGCCAGGTTCGTGAACAAAAGACAGTTATCTAACACCGCACAATCTGGGCTCT